TTTTTAAGTGGATTTAGTCCATCACGTCTGGGTGCCACTCTGTAGTAAAAGGAGCAGCGGGGCTGCGTCCCCAGCACCCAGCCACCCACATGGCTAGCTCTAGCTTATGCCCCGAAATAATTACACGGAAACTGTATTCTTTTAAACACCGCTTGGCCCATTATATCTAGCCTTTTCTCGGCTAACTCTCGCACCTGGACTAGCCCATTTCTTATAATCTGTGTAGCCCACGAGCTGGCTTACCAGGAATGATCTTAACCTGCGTCTGTCTGGAGTGGGAGAATCATGGCGACTCCCGACTCAGCTTCTTTCTCCCAGCATTCTGTTCTGTTTACTCCTCCCACCTATGTTTTAACCTATGAGGGCCAAGCAGTTTCTTTATTGCTTAACCAATGAAATCAACAGATTGATATATGACACTCCCACATCAGCTGTGGTCCCTCTCAGGGCTTCATGCGTACTGTGTGAACACTCTACTAACTGAGTTCCAGTCCTTAAGGCCAGCTCTCTGCCCTGCCTGTGGTTCTGTGAGGGACAAGGCCTTGATGGAATATCAGCCCAGACCACCCTGTTTTTAAGGCTGTCATTTGGCCACGGGGACCTTGGAAGCCAGCTACAAGCTATGTTCTTCTTCTTTTTTTTTTAAACTGCTATTTATATTTATGTGTATGGATATTTTGTCTGCATGTCTGTATACAGTGTGTGCCTGGTGCTTGAGGTGACCCGAAGAGCACATTAGATCCCCAGGACTGGAGTTGCAGACAGTTGTGAGCCTCCATGTGGGTGCTGAGAATGGAACCTGAGTCCTCTGGAAGAACAGCCAATACTCTTAGCCACTGAGCCACCTCTCCAGCCCCACAGACTGTGTTCTTAAGAGAGAACATTCAATTTTTTAAATTTTATTTATTCATTATTAGTGTGTGTACACTTGCATGCGTGCATGGGGTGCATGCATGGGGTGCATTCATGGGGTGCGTGCATGGGGTGCATGCATGAGGTGCATGCATGGGGTGCGTGCATGGGGTGCATGCATGAGGTGCATGCCACAGCACATATGGAGGCCAGAGGACAACTTGCTTTCTTCCTAAATCTCTTTAGATTTATTTTGGTATGTGTGTGTCTTTCTTAGGGTTTTTCTTGCTGTGAAAAAACACCATGATCAAAAGCAACTTGGAGAGGAAAGGGTTGATTTCATTTCACAGTCCATCACTGAGGGAAGTCAGGGCAGGAGCCTGGAGGCAGGAGCTAAGACAGAGGCCATGCAGGAGTGCTGCTTATTGGCTCTCTCCTCATAACTCGCTCAGTCTGCTTTCTTATACCGTCCAAGACCAAGTGCTCAAGGGCAGCTCTGCCCACAGTGTGCTGGACCCTCCTATATCTTTAATCAAGGCGTTACACGCCACAGACTTGCCTACAGGCCAATCTTATGGAGGCATTTTTCTCAATTAGGAATCCCTCTTCCCAGATATGTCTAGATTTGTGTCAACTTGAGGAAACCCAATCAGTATAGTGTGTCTATCTGTGTATGCAAATGTGAGTGCAGTGCTCTCAGAGGCCAGAAGAGGGAGTCAGACCCCCTAGAGCTAGAGTTGTAGGCAGTTGTGAGGTGCCAGACATGACTTCTGGGAACGAAACTCCAGTCTTTTGGAAGAGCAGCAAGTGTTCTTGACCTCTGAGACATCTCTCCAGCCCCAGAGGACATCTTTGAGGAGTCCATTCTGTCCTTTTTTTTTTTTTCTTTAAGATTTATTTATTTATTACGTACACAGTGTCCTGCTTGCATGTGTTCCTGAAGTCCAGAAGAGGGCATCAGATCTCATTATAGATGGTTGTGAGTCACCATGTGGTTGCTGGAAATTGAACTTAGGACCTCTGGAAGAGCAGTCAGTGCTCTTAACCTCTGAGCCACCTCTCCAGCCCCCATTCTGTCCTATTACTATAGGTTCTGGGGACTGAACTCTGGTCATCAGCAAGTGCTTTATCCTCTGAGCCATTCCGTTGGCTCCACTTAATATCTTGAGAAAGCATTTAATTCTTGCCCTGGTGGTATTGTAGCACACGGAATACATGCATCTAGAGGGCACGGTGTTGCACGCCTGTAATCCCAGCACTCGGAAGATGGAGAAATGGAGACAGGAGGATTGAAAGTTTGAGGCCAGCGTGGGCTATGGATCGAGGCTCTGTTTCAAACAAGCAAACTCCCCACATCCACTCAGTACTCTGTTTTCTCTGCGATTTCCCCTAGCAGCATACACTCAGATTGGTGTGATGGTCGGATAGTTGGGAAGGCTTGCTTCTGGTCCTGTTGCATTACCAAGGCCAGGGCCTTGTCTCTGAGTGCTAAGTCCTGTCTGGAACAGACTGTTGACCAACACTCTTCCAGGACAGACCTCCAGAGTCCCTGTTCACTGAGCCACCCAGGTGTGGCTGCCCACTGGGTCCTGACTCTCCAGGGCTTCACACAGACTCTGCTCTTCCTCCCTCTAGGGCAAGAGGTTCTCAACCTGTGGGTCACGCCCTCTTTGACAGACTTATTTCCAAAAAACATTTAGATTCATAACAGTAGCAAAAGTACAGGTATGAAGTAGCAAGGAAATAATTTCATGGTTGGGGGTCACCATGACGAGAAGACCGGTGTTAAAGGGTCGCAGCATTAGGAAGGGTAAGAACCACTGGGCTAGAGATTCAGAAGGGAATCGGAGCCTCCTTGGCTTAGTCTCCTGCTTCCTATGTGACTTGGGGCTGTGCCCCAGGGTCCTTCATGGGGCCAGCAAGTTAGACCAGATTGATTATATTTTGTGGTGCTGTGACTGCTAGGGGACACTGTTGCCTTGGGTGTAGCCTGAAACCCTACTCCCTCTGTCTCTGCTTCTTTTTTCTTTGAGACACGGTTTTGTTCTTTAATTCTGGCTGGCTTTGATCATGCTTATGTGCTTCTTTTTTGAGGGGGTCAGGAGGGGCTCCAGGGTCTTATGTGCCCTGGGCTGGCTCTGAACTTTCTATGTAGCCGAGGGTGACTCTCCACTTCTGATTCTCCAGTCTCTGCCTCCCAAGTGCTGCTTTGACGGTGTGTGCCACCACATCCTGCTGGTACCACCACATCCTGACCACGATAATTTCTGTCGCTCTCCCTGAGACCCGCAGTGCCAAGACTGTGTGGCAGTGGGCACCTGGTAAAGGAGCGGCATGAGGGGGCAGCGTATGTTTTCATTATTTATTTATTTAGGTTTCTTGAGACAAGGTTTTTCTGTGTGGTCCTGGACGTCCAGGACCTTGATTAGTAGTTTTGGCTGGCCTTGAACTCAGAGTTCCACCTCCTTTGCCTCCTGAGTGCTGGAATTAAAGATGTGAGCCACAGGGGCTGGAGAGATGGCTCAGTGGTTAAGAGTACTGACTGCTCTTCTAGAGGACCCGGGTTCTATTTCCAGCACCCACATGGCAGCTAACAACTGTCTATAACTCCAAAATCTGACACCCTCACACAGAGATACATGCAGGCAAAATTCCAATGTACATAAAATAAAAGTAAATAATTATTTAAAAAAAAAGACGTGAGGGCTGGAGAGATGGCTCAGAGGTTAAGAGCATTGCCTGCTCTTCCAAAGGTCCTGAGTTCAATTCCCAGCAACCATATGGTGGCTCACAACCATCTGTAATGGGGTCTGGTGCCCTCTTCTGGCCTTCAGGCATACACACAGACAGAATATTGTATACATAATAAATAAATATTAAAAAAAAAAGATGTGAGTCACCACAACCTGCTGAGGGAGGGGTAGTCTTTGGTGTTTGGGGCAAGGAGAGACTGCATTAAATGTGCCAAGGTAACTGGGGTGATGCCTTGGTGTATGGAATCCTAGCGCTCAGGAAGCAGAAGCAGGAGGGTTGTCATGAATTCGAGGCCAACCTGGAATACATATTGAGTTTCATAGTAGCCTGGGCTCTAAAGTAGGACTGTCTCGCCGGGCGGTGGTGGATCTCTGGGAGTTCGAGGCCAGCCTGGTCTACAAGAGCTAGTTCCGGGATGGGCACCAAAGCTACAGAGAAACCCTGTCTCGAAAAACCTAAAAAAAAAAAAAAAAAAAAGGCTGGAGAGATGGCTCAGAGGTTAAGAGCACTGTCTGCTCTTCCGGAGGTCCTGAGTTCAATCCCTCCAAACCATCTGTAAAGAGATCTGGCCCCCTCCTCTGGCGTGTGGAGGCAGGAAGTTGTATACATAATAAATAAATTTTAAAAAAAAGTAGGACTGTCTCAGTAACAGAGAGACATTTGGGCATGCTGGTACACACCTGTAATCCCAGCACTCAGGAGGCAGGGGAGTCAGAAGTTCAAGGCCAGCTTGAGCTCCATCATAATTTAGAGGATAGCCTTGGCTACAAGAGTGCTTGTCTCAAAAACAAAATACCCAAATGAAAATAGACACACCCCCAAACCAACCAGAATGTGTCAGGGCCCCAAACACTCACTGTCTTGGAACTTTGCTTCAAAAAAGAAAAAAAAAAAAAAAGGTGGCACAGCACTTGACAGGCAGAGGCAGGCGGATCTCTGTGAGTCCGAGGCCAGCCTGGTCTACATAGTGAGTTCCAGGACAGACTCCAAAGCTACACAGAGAAACCCTGTCTCGAAACCCCTGCCTCCCCACTACCCCCGCCCAAAAAGAAAGAAAAGAAAAAACACATGTACTCGTGGTAATGAGACAAACTAGTCATGGGGAGGAGGAAAAGTTAGTGCAGGGCCAGTGACCCAACCCAGGAAATGTGACTAACCAGCCACAGCAGGGGAGTGCGCTTCGTCTGTGCAGAAGTGCCTGTCCAGGCTGGTGAGTGGAATGGGGCCTTCCTTGCTTGTCTGACTTGAGGTTGTTCAGAAGCTGCCCTGCCCGAGGCCGCTGTGAGGAGACCGGTGGGCTCTAGCCTTCCAGTGGCCACGTCTGAGAAACAGCTTTCTGTCAGCGGGCCAGCCGAGTCTCAGAGTTTGCTTCCCTGAGTCCTTGGACCTCAGAGCCCTGAGCCTTCCCTTGGGTGGGGCAGGTGGGTGGGACAACTCGGAGGGGAAGAGGGAAGTGAGAAGCGAGGGTGGAGCAGGCTGAGAAGAGTCTGAGAAGAAAAGGCCTGTGGAGAGGTAAAGTGGAATGGGCTCCTGGAGATGGGCTAGCTGGACCCTCTTGGGTGGACAGGGAGGACTGGTTAGGGGAGGGCTGGCTGCTAGGGTCTGGGAAGTCAGGAGTGATGCCCCTAGGCATAAATCAGGCTGAGGCTGTTGTGGGACTGCAGTTCTGCAGCTGCAGAGAGGCTGGGTGGTGGTGGATGTATTCCAGCTGCAGGGAAGTGCTAGGGGGTCTGGGTTCATCCTGGTCTGTAGGAGGTGGCATCAGACCTTCTGAGAGATCCCCAAAGGCCGTCAGTCAGGGGGTGAGCTCAGATCTGGCAGTGGCTGTCCCCAAGATAGCACTGGCCTAGGTGTAGACAGCTGGACTGAAGGGGCTTGGGAAGAGGCAAGGTAGGTCCAGCTACTTGAGGGGCATCCAGCCAGCCCCCAGCAGCGGGCCATGCGGGGAATGGTGTGGACAGAGAAGAAGGTAGACTCGGGAGAGTGGGTTCTGCTTGGTGTGGGGAAAGAGCAGTGTTCTGGGTGTCCAGAGCCACGGCTGTCCCCACTTCTAAGGAGCATGGGTCACAGTTCAGAAGGTCCCTGCTTTCGTGTGTGGACAGTCCCCTCCCTCCCTAAGGCTGGTGCTATTTCAGGTCACAGTTAACGGTGTGAGAGGGACCGTGAGGGAAAGTGGGAAAAGTTTTGCGTCCTAATAAGCCTCTCTGCCTAGGCAATAATTCAAATCAGACCAAATCAAACCGAATTAGAAAAAGCCCAGGTTTAATGGATACTAACACTACTGGGTGGGGTGGCTCTCCAGCCCCTCACAGAGGAGGCAGGAAGGAAGACCAGAAAACCACACGTTTATTCTCTTGGGGGGCAGTTTAAATACCCGGTGGGGGGAGTGGTCTTGAGCATCTCTGGGGAGGGGTCATTATTTGGCGGGCTTTCTTGGAGGTGGAGTCTAGACTGAGGCAACTCCCAGGGGAGGGGGCTTGGGATGGAACTTCCACCCGAACATTCCAGACTCTTTGGGTATGTGGATGCCAGGGGCTGGGATGAAGCTTCCACCCAAACAAACCATCCTGTTGAGAATCGGAGTCTGAAGAGGACAAAAATAGCCCAGGTTTTCCTCAGTACTGGGCCACTGGTGCACAGTTAGGTCATTGATGGGGTCAAGCATGTTGTTGAAGGTGGGAGTGACCCCAGGGTGTCCATCAGGTTATTCTAAGGGCCAAGATTGGCCACCTCCCCCACAATCAGGACAGTCTGATGGGTCTCTTCACCCCTGCCTTTCTGCCTTAAGGCTGCTCCCAGCAGTGCCCCCAGCGCTGAGATCCTAGGCTATCTCTCTGGTTTCATCTACTCCGATAACTGAGGCTCAGCAAATCAAGGCAATTGAACACATTGTTTGGACGCAATCAGATGTGCGCAAAGGTAGACAGGCAAACTCTTCCTCCTGCTCCAAAGGTGCTTTATAGTCTCAGGGAGAGAGCCAGTCCCTAAAACTCACGCCCCACTATGGCCCAGTGGGGAAAATGAGTCTTCAGCAGAGGTGACCAGCTATGACGTAGCTCAGTGGTAGAATGCTTTTTAGCTTTTAGCTGTGCCCCTTGACCTTGGGTTTGGTGCCAGCACTCCTGCCACTCCCAAAGACTGCCTGGTGCCATCTTCCTCTCTCTCTCTCTCTCTCTCTCTCTCTCTCTCTCTCTCTCTTCCCCAGGCCTGTACACACCCCCTCTAATAATAAACTCCTAAGGGGGGTGGTGCCTGTGAAGCAGTGAGTTCCCCATCACCAGAAGCATTCAAGAAGAGGACGAAGAAGTGTGCTCTGGAAGAGGTGTCTATAGTGTGCTCTGAGGACTAAGCCCTAAGGCTCCTAGTGCTGGTCTGTGATTACATGACAGTCTTATGTGGAGGAAGCAGGTCTGTGGTTTCACTGGATGTGATGGCTCCCCCACTTTCCTGAGCCCGCTGGCTAGGCCACAAGGCAGACTGGTCTTCATCTCTATCTTCCCCTCCTGCAGCCGGCCCAGTGCTGAGCCGCCCCCCCCCCCCCCCCCCCCCCCCGCACAGATCTGGCATGCACGGAAGTGCAGGAACTGAATGCTTGAGGGATGGGGTGTCAGGAGTGTCCCTGCTGAGTGGGCTGGGGAAACTCCCACAGGAGCTATGGTACTGGAGCATCCCTCAGATAGCTGGGGCTGACGTGTGTGCGCCCACAGGCATGGAGGGTTGTGACACACGCACTTCGCACCTCACCAAGGAGGCGAAGGGCTGAAAGCAGGAGACAAGAATGGAAGGCTGTTTGCCAGGGAAGCCCCTTCCTCAGGAAAGCCTGGATGCAGGCAGGATCAGGAGCTGATGCGGGGGGGGGGGGGGCAGTCAGGATCTAGGGCTTCTCTCACTGCTACCCAGCCATGTACCCCACTTCCCCACCCTTGGGAGTAGGAGTTGGACTTGGAGTCTCTGCATGCTAGGTGAGCACGGTACTACAGAACTATATTCCCGGTTCTCTTTTTACCTTTTATCTTGAGATTGGCCTCATTATGTCACACAGGCAGGCCTTGAACACACTCTGCAGCCCAGGCTGGTCTTAAACTGCTAATACATCTGCCTCAGTTTATCAACAAGTTGGGATTCTAGGCTTGTACCGGCCTGCCTAGCTTTGTCAGGAGGTTGTTGGTTTTGTTGTTTTTTTTTTTGTTTTGTTTTGGTTTGGTTTTCTTTGTTTTTTTTCGAGACAGGGTTTCTCTGTGTCTTTGGAGCCTGTCCTGGAACTAGCTCTGTAGACCAGGCTGGTCTCGAACTCACAGAGATTCACCTGCCTCTGCCTCCCGAGTGCTGGGATTAAAGGGGTGCGCCACCATCGCCCGGCTGGTTTTTGTTGTTTGTTTGTTTATCAAGACAGGGTTTCTCTGTGTAGCAGTGTTGGCTGTCCTGGAACTCACTCTGTGTCCAGGCTGGCCTCAAACTCACAGAGGCTCCTGCTTCTGCCTCTGCTGGGATTAAAGGCATGCGCCACCACACCTGGCTATCAGTTTTAAAAGCCTTCCTCTCCTTCGAGTTCCAGAGCCTGTTTTCGTACCTCGTGTACTATGAGGATCACTTTGAACACCTATGGAAAACACTTCCAGCCTGAGGAGAGTGTCCCAGGCCTGCTGATACACTCAGGGGCTGGGGATGTAGCTGCTGGTGGAGTTCCACCCAGCATGCACGCAGACGTGGATTCCATCTGCGTAAATCCAGCCTGCTCATCCAGCACTGTGGAGGTGAAGGCCGGAGGATCAGAAGTCCAAAGTCTCCCCTGGCTACCTAGTGAACGCAAGACTAGCTCAGGCTATAAGAGACCCTATCCCAAAAGAAGAAAAGAAAAAAGAAAAGGAAAAACCCTTATTCCCTGATACTTGATACCGTAAGGAAGGCTATAACAGGACTGCCACAATAAGTATAGGGACTGAGCACCAGGTCCTTGCAGTGTGGGAGAAAGACTAGTCTCAACACCCAAGTAGTGTGAGCCAACAAGGCTTTCACAGTCCAGGAGCTAGGGAAGAGTCAGGGTGTGGAAAATTACTAAAAGAAAGCGCCTGGGGCGGGGGGGGGGGGGGGGGGGGGGAGATTCTGTCAAACTAACCTGGCAGGTTTCTTGTTGAAGATAGCCAGGATGAGCAGACATCTTGTGGGGGATGGTGCAGGTCGAAGAACTAGATCTGCATAAAGGATGATGGGATATGGATTATGGGGATTTGCAGCCTAACGCATGTTTCAGGGATCTTTGGCAGCAACTGGATTTTGCGAGGAAGTATGGAGAAAGGTCTAGAAGGTTTAGATGGAGTGATGGAGTTTAGCCAGAGTCTTTGCACTTCTGTAAGGTGGTTGGTTATTTTATTTTTAATTTTATTATTTATTTTTGTGTATGTACGTGTGCATGTTTCATAACATGCGTGCAGAGGTCAGAGGGCAACTCCAGGAGCTGGTTCTTTCCTCTGTCCTATGGGTCTTGGGGATGGAGCTAAAGGCATTAGACTTGTCAGCCAGCACCTTGCCAGCGGACCATCAGTCCTGAGGAGGCGCTGTAATGAGCACTAACGAGGGCCGTGAAGGAGCAGATAGCCGAATCCCCTCATCAGAACCCCACAGTAACTTGGAGTGGAGGGCACTTGACTCTGAGTCACGGCCCAGTTTCTCATTTTGGTAACACGGAACTGAAAGCACTGAGGTTACAGGCTCAGTCTCTCATTCCTGAGCTTGGGTTCGGGGCAGCCTCATCAGTTCCTAACTGACTCACAGGCTAGGCTGCCCATAGCAGGGGGTGTGCACACAGCCCATGGCGTTTGTGGGGGTCACGCTGAAACGCATGATCCTCTGTTTGAAAGTGGTAATTCCCCGCGGGCATTTCAACTCTTTCACCCTAGCTCCGCCTTCTGCTCTGCTTCCTGTGCAGACTCAACAATCCCTGCTGACCCAGCCACCCTGACCACAGAGTGGCCTCTGTGCTCCTGCAGCTCCAGTCTGCAGGGTCTGCTTCCTACTCTCACCCTCCGTGTCCCTCAGGGCACCTCTCCCAGTAACTCACTGAATTAAGTGCTGGAGACACACAGTCTCTTTCTTCCTTTAAAAGCCTTACAATAAACAAACAAGCAAACAAAAACGCCTTAGCTCTGAGCCATGGTTCAGTGGTAAGGGAGCACTGGCTGCTGGGACTAACCGTCTGAGTTTGACCCCCAGAACTCCCGTGGTGGAAGGGAAAACCAGTCCTTTCTTCACATCTGTTTATTTATTTAGTGTCCGTACGCGGAGGTTGAGCGCGTGTGCGCACGTACCATTGTCCGTATGCGGAGGTTGAGCACGTGTGCGCACGTACCATTGTCTGTACGCGGAGGTTGAGCGCGTGTGCGCACGTACCATTGTCCATACGCGGAGGTTGAGCGCGTATGCGCACATACCATTGTCCATACGTGGAGTTCAAAAAAGGAGCCAACTACCTTTGGGAACAAAGAAAAGGGAGGATGAAGTTGTTATGACTATATATTTCTGAAATTAAAAACAATGACAACAACAGCTTGCCTTTTGCATTCTCCCTATACTACAATTCCTTTTGCCCAAGAAATATTTTCTCTACCGACTCCCAAAACAAAGATGGCATTCATCATGCTGGAACTGGAAGATGCTGGGCACATACAAGGGATAGCTGATGCCCAGAATGAGTGCACCTTTTGGGAGAGCTTTGGCTAGAAGGGATAAAATCCCATGAAAGGTTTGTTTTTAGTAAATTTAGAGAATAAAAATTCTGCTCTTTCTCTCTTCCTCTCTCTGGCTGGCCTGGAACCCACTGTGTAGACCAGGCTGGCCTTGAATTTTCGGACCTCTACCAGCCTCTGCTTCTGAGTGCTGGGATTACAGGCTTCCAGGCTGCTCCACCTTGCCGAGTTCTTGCTCTTTTTTCAGGGTTCCATAGATCCCAAGCTGCCCTCAAAATCTTTGAGGATGATCTTGAATTCTTGTCTCCACCTCCCAAATGCTGAGATTACAGGCATGAGCCATCAGGTCCAGTTTCTGCAGTGCTGGGCTTGAACCCAGGACTTCATGCGTGCTAGGCAAGTTCTCTACCAATTAAGCTGCATCTCCACTTCTTTATCTGTTGTTTAATAGTTAAGATTTTTTTAGATATTAGATTAAAAAATAACATTTTTGTTGGTATGGGTGTGTCTGCATGTACGTATGTATGGCATAAATGTGGAGGTTGAGGGCGCCTCGGGGAGTCTGTGTTCTCCTTTCACCTTTACTTAGTCAGTTCATCAGACTTGTGCAGCAAGCACCTCTACCCGCCGAGCTGTGTCACGGGCACCTCTACCCGCCGAGCTGTGTCACGGGCACCTCTACCCGCCGAGCTGTGTCACGGGCACCTCTACCCGCCGAGCTGTGTCACGGGCACCTCTACCCGCCGAGCTGTGTCACGGGCACCTTTACCCGCCGAGCTGTGACATGGCCACCTTTACCCACCGAGCTGTATCATGCATGGGCACCTTTACCTGCCGAGCTGTGACATGGGCACCTTTATCCACTGAGCTGTATCATGCATGGGCACTTTTACCTATCAAGCTGTGTCAAGTGTACCCTTACCCACCGAGCTGTGTCACGGACACCTTGTCTATTTTCCTTCCTTTCTTCCTTTTTCTTGTTCGTTTGGGTGTTTTATAGCCCAGGTTGTCTCAGAATTCACTAGGTAGCCAAGAATGGCCTTGAACTTCTGATTCTCCTGCTTCTGTTTCTGGAATGTCAGTTCCACAGGTGTACACGGTCATACCAGGCATTTTCTGTTGTTTTAAGACAGAGTTTTATGTAGCCCAGGCTAACCTGGAACCTGAATGTCCTTGAGCATCTGGACTTTCTGCCTTCCCCTTCCCATTGCTGGGGTTATGGTCGCACATGCTGTCATAATTGGCCTTTTCCTCTCCCCCACTCCTCTTGCACATGTTTGTGCATGTCTGCATGTGTGGACACGTGTATAGGTCTAATAGCATGTGTGTGTGTATGCGCGTGGAGGCCCAAAGTTGATGTCAGGATTCTTCATCGTATTCATTCTCTTAACCAAACCAGAGCTTGCCGACGGGGCTAGTTTTGTTCTTCAGTTTGCTTTGGGGATGCCCTGTCTCTGTCCTCTGAAGCTGGAATTACAAGTGGGCAGTTCACCCAACACGTATGTGGATTCTGAGGATTCGAACTCTGGTCCTCACACGTGCCATGCAAGCGTGTTAGCTGTTGAGCATCACCTCAGCCCAGGTCATCCTCAGCTCCTGACAGCTGTGAGGACCACCCAGGTTACATAAGACACTGCTTCAAAAAACCTAAGGGAGACTACTTGGCCACCTGGAAGGCTCCCCGAGACCAACGAGGGAGGTCTGTTAGGCCCCTTGTGGTAACCATGGTTTCTCTCCTTAGGTCTGGAGCAGCATGTACACACCCATCCCGCAGAGGTAGGCAGTGCGCCCCATGTCTCTGCTCTCACTATACCCAGACTTCCGTCTCCAGGCCTGCCCAAGCATCTCTGCTTGAGCCCGCTAGCAACCATCTCTTCCTACAGTGGCTCCCCATTTCCAGCCTCCGTCCAGGACCCAGGCCTACACATATGGCGGGTGGAGAAGCTGAAGCCCGTGCCCCTAGCGCGAGAGAACCATGGCATCTTCTTCTCTGGGGACTCCTACCTTGTGCTTCACAATGGCCCCGAAGAGGTCTCCAATCTGCACCTGTGGATAGGTAAAGGCGTTGGAATTCGGCAGAGGCAGGGACGGGGGTTGCAGGGGGTCTCGGGGACCTTGCCTGTCACCTGTCACCTTCATCCTAGGCCAGCAGTCATCCCGGGACGAGCAGGGGGCCTGTGCTGTGCTGGCCGTGCACCTTAACACCCTCCTTGGGGAGCGGCCTGTGCAGCACCGTGAGGTTCAAGGGAATGAGTCGGACCTCTTCATGAGCTACTTCCCGCGTGGCCTCAAGTACCAGGTGAGACCCACCTCCAGGCCCTCGTTCCCGTGACTTTTCTCTGAGTCAGCTCCTCTTTCTGGCTGTCTTATCCTTTGGAAGGCCTGGGCACCCTTGGGGATTGGTTTCTACTGCGATGCAGTGTAGAAGGCTCTGGGTGCCTGTGAGACCGCTCAGGCCGGTTTTCTGGGTTGCAGGAAGGTGGTGTGGAGTCCGCATTTCACAAGACAAACTCGGGGGCCACCCCAGCAGCCATCAAGAAGCTCTACCAAGTTAAGGGGAAGAAAAACATCCGTGCCACCGAGAGGGCGCTGAGCTGGGACAGCTTTAACACCGGGGACTGCTTCATCCTGGACCTGGGCCAGGTGGGTAGGTGGCCGAGACTGAGCATGTGCCGGCACCGTGAGTAGGTGGCCGAGACTGAGCATGTGCGGGCACTGTGCTTTAAGACAGTCTGGGAGGCCGGGGGAGCAGTAAGAACCCGTGTTGTAGTGAACATCCGGGAGAAGACATCATCCTCAGCCAGCCAGCCAGCCCTTAGACCCATAGGGATTATTTCCCAGTGCCACGCAGACACCACCATCCACAGACGTCCAGTCTCATAGATTTAGCGATCTCGAACCTGTATACATATCTCATGTGCTTCCTCCCGTTCGGTTCCAGGCGTGTCCAACCCGCGGCCATTGGCTGCATGCAGCCCAAAGTTTATAAATGCGGCTCAACAGAAAGCTTCAAACTTTCTTAAAACATGTTTTTGGGATTTTTTTTTTTTTTTGTAATTTGATTATGTTTTTAAAAAATTTGTTTGTGTATGTGTGGGTAGGCATATACTCATGAATGCAGATACCAGCAGAGGCCAGGAGGGGGTGCTGGAGTTGGAGTTAAAGGCAGTTGTCAGCTCCCCATCGTGGATGCTCAGAAAGCAGTTCCCCGGCAAGACCAGTGGATACTCTTTTTTTTTTTTTAAAGATTTATTTATTTATTATGTGTACAGTATTCTCAGTATGCCTGCGGCCAGAAGAGGGCACCAGATATCATTACAGATGGCTGTGAGCCACCATGTGGTTGCTGGGAATCGAACTCAGGACCTTTGGAAGAGCAGGCAGTGCTCTTAACCGCTGAGCCATCTCTCCAGCCCTGCAGTGGATACTCTTGACCACTGAGACATCTCTCTCTCCAGTGCAGGAGGCACTCTTACAGGCATTGTCCTTCCCTTTCTCAGAGGCCTCTGGAGGATGTCCCTGACTTCTTGGCTGTTGTTTGTTTTTGAGCTAGTGTCTCAGTGTAGCCCAGGTTGTCCTGGGACTCACTATGTAGACCTGATCTCAAATACACAGACATCTGCCTGCCTCAGCCTCTGCCTCGTGAGTACTGGGATCAAAGGCATGCACTGCCATTACTATGCCCCACACTGGCACGGCCTTCTTGCTTGCACCTCCTGTGAGGACAGCTTTTCAGTAGGGGCAGAACAAAGGCTACTGGCTGTGATGGGCCTGTCTGGCTTCTCTGCAGAGCATCTTCGCCTGGTGTGGTGCAAAGTCCAACATCCTGGAACGTAACAAGGCAAGGGACCTGGCCCTGGCCATCAGGGACAGCGAGCGGCAGGGCAAGGCCCAGGTGGAAATTATCACCGATGGAGAAGAGCCAGCCGAGATGATTCAGGTTGGGAACACTGGGGTGGGCAGATGGGAGAGACAATGGTAAGCTGGGATGATGAAGGCTGCTGAGAGAGGGTGACTGGGGCCATCCGGAGCCCTGCTCGGCCCTGAGGTCGCGCATGGGGTACTGTTGTGTGACGGTGACAAGGGTTCCTCTGAGTGGGTACAGCCTTGGGCAGGCTGGATCCATCACTTTGCCCTCCACTTTAGTGCAGGACACAGGGATGTGGTGACTTGAAGAATTTGGGTGTAGAAGCCCCAGTAATCTTGTCTGGTTCTGCAGGTTCTGGGCGCCAAACCTGCTCTGAAGGAGGGCAACCCTGAGGAAGACCTCACAGCTGATAAGACCAATGCCCAGGCTGCAGCCCTGTATAAGGTGGGCACGTCAGGCCTGTTGGGGACCAACCAGTCATCTGCCGGTGGCAGAGGCATGGAGCTGAAGCGGGGAGGAGGGTGTGGGAAGGCTGGGCCAGGAACCAGGTAGGTTTGTAGGGGTCGGAGGAGGGATGGGTGGGAGTAGGCAGATGGCAGCCCTCTGAAGAAATACATACTTCCAGCTCGTTGGTGGAGGTTGGAAGCTAAGGCAGAGTTTGCCTTCACTTGAACCCTGTGCAGTTACTTGTAATGTGGAAGTCACCTTTTTCCCTAAGGGAGTCGTAGCCTCTGAACTGCAGTTGACAGACAAGAGAAGGGCTGTCTGGAGCTTGCCTTTGGGAGGCTTTTTCCTGCCTGTTGCTCAGAACTGTTGGGAAAAGCAACTGGGGAGGGCCTGGGTAACCCATTCCTTCATTCAAGGTGAGTGCGGGTGTGTGTGTGTGTGTGTGTGTGCGCGCACCGTGCTGGTCACACTGGGGACTGTACTTCCTCCCCAGGTCTCTGACGCCACTGGACAGATGAATCTCACCAAGGTGGCTGACTCCAGCCCCTTCGCCTCTGAACTGCTGATTCCTGATGACTGCTTTGTTCTGGACAACGGACTCTGTGGCAAAATCTACATCTGGAAGGGTATGTGTGACTCCTTTGTACGAGCCTGAGGGCCCTGCAGCAGGCTCAGCCACCTCAGCCTGAGGGTCCTGCAGCTTCCTTGAACCCAGTAAACTCAGCCATTTTAAAACCTCAGTGGGCCTCAAAACTCCAAGGACCTGTTGAATACATTTCTGGGTCAGTCCCAGAGATTCAGATTCACCAGGTCTAGGCTGGAGCCTGAGCATGTGTGTGTGTGTGTGTGTTTAACACATTTCCAGGGTATGTCTGTGGGGCTCCAGGGAAGACAGTGTTCCCAGGGTTTGGGGGGGAGCTCCAGGGGAGACAGTGTTCCCAGGGTTTGGGGGGGAGCCCAGGGGAGACAGTGTTCTCAGGATATGCCTGGGGGGGGGCGGCTCCAGGGGAGACAGTGTTCCCAGGGTTTGGGGGGGAGCCCAGGGGAGACAGTGTTCCCAGGGTATGTCTGCGAGGCTCCAGGGGAGACTTTGAGAACTCTCTCTGCAGTTTCCAGGCCTTCGGGGCTCTGAGGTCCCTGACTTTGAGGTTTTGAGTTAACTGTAACTGAGGTAAATTTTAGTTGGGCTTGGTAGCACTTTACACAGTGTGTGGTAAACTTGGAGGCTGTGCTTTTCCAAGAGATTGTATTTACTGGAGAGAGAGAAAGGCTGCTGTGTGCCTGAGCCTGGCTGCTTGCTTTGACCATGGAAAATGTAAAGACAGCATGATCCCAGGAGCCTCCCTCCTTCCCTCCCTCCCTCCCTCCTTTCTCCTTCCTTCCTTCCTTTTCTTCTTTCTTTTGTTATGCCCAAGTTTCTGGTCCCCAAATGAATTCACAGAGCTGGATTTCTGATGCAAATTACATGAGGGTTTTTATTTTATTTTTTTAATTTTTTGAATTTTTTGAGACAAGGTTTCTCCGCAGCTTTTGGTTCCTATCCTGGAACTAGCTCTTGTAGACCAGGCTGGCCTCGAACTCCCAGAGATCCACCTGCCTCTGCCTCCCGAGTGCTGGGATTAAAGGCGTGCGCCACCACCACCCGGCTACATGAAGGTCAAGTTTGGACCAATACCTTTCCAGCACCCAGCATGGTGGGTGCAGAAAGTGTGGCAGGGAGCTGGTGTGTGTGTGTAGAAATTTTAAAGGGGAAATGCCACAATCAGGGGAGTTCATGTCCTGTCGTCTTGGGATTGGGTAAGGGGGTCATAGGATAAGATAGTTTCTGAAACCATTGGTCAGGTTTTGGGCACAAAAACCTAACAAAGAGCCATTAGTTACTGACAAGGTATCTTCCAGGACAGGACGCCTCCTAGGAGCTTCTGGACCTCGTTAAATTTTATGGCCTCGCTCCCTAGCTCCTTAATCGGCTATTTTCAGGATGTCCCTTCAAATTTTGCTATCCCAGCGCATCTCTGGAGCTGAGATTGGGCCCCCACTCATTATATGGCTTAAGTTAAAGCCCCCTTTTTAAAACAGAGTTTGTGGGCCTGGAGAGACAGCTCAGTGGTTAAGAGCACTGATTGCTCTTCCAGAGGACCCGGGTTCAATTCCCAGTACCCACATGGCAGCTCACAACTGTCTGTAATTCCAGTTCCAAGGGACCTGACACCCATGGCAAGACACAAATGCACATAAAGTAAAAACAAACAAAAACAAAACAGAGTTTGCAAAGTCAGGTCCTCAACACTTTCTGTGTGTGTACAAGCCTGTGGGGGTGCCCAAGGAGGCCAGAGGGGGCCATCAGATCCCTTTAGCTGCTGTTAAAAGCAGTTTTGAGCTCCCAATGTGGGTGCTGGGAACTGAACTCTAGTCCTTTGCAAAAGCAGCAAGTGCTCTTAACCACCGAGTCATCTCTCCAGCCCTTTCCCTTCCTTTTTGAGACAAGGTCTCGTGTAGCCCAGGCTGGCCTCTCACTTGTTATGCAGCCAAAGAACCCCTGATTCTCTTGCCTCCAACTCCTGAGTGCTGGGATTTTCTCTGGTGCTGCGGCTGGAACCCAGGGCATGCTGGACAATTATTCTACCGACTGAGCTACGTTCCTTGCTCTGGGGTGGCCTCTTCCTTCCTGCAGAGGCGCCAAACCCCATGAAGCCAGTGCTAAGATTCCAGAGGCCCATGTGAGTGTCTGTGGTCCCCGAGAAAGGAATCCTTACAGAAAAGGGCCCAGTAGGACAGGAAGCTGAGGAGCAGGGGGGCAAGTGCCCACGGATGCCACAGCAGTGAGTCACTTACAGGGGGGGAAGAACTTCGTGGTTCACAAGATTTTGACAGTGGTCAGAGAGTCAGCCACTGCCTGGCTGTTTCCTTGTCAAATGCCTTCAGCTTGAATCACACTTTGCACCCCAATGATGATTGCCACACCTCACCTTCTGCTTCTTTTGACATCTCGTTCCTATGTTCTAGGGCGAAAAGCTAACGAGAAGGAGCGGCAGGCAGCCCTCCAAGTGGCCGATGGCTTCATCTCTCGGATGAGATACTCCCCAAACACTCAGGTGAGGACAAACCCCATGTCTTCACCTCCTCCTCCTGGTACCCTCCTGTGGCTCCCTACCCCAGCCTGAACAAGACCTGGACACCTCAGGAGTTGGGAGCAGACTTGCCTGCCTCAGACCAGTTAGATGGAAAGGCCTTTCAGTCCTTCCGCCTTTTAAAAAACAAAACAAAAAACAAAACCCAAAACATATTTTCAGAGAGAATACTGGGAGGTGGAAGGGTAGGGCGGTCACTGGGGCTGGGTCTTCCCAGCCAGTAGTGTTCCTTTTCTCTTAGTCCCAGCATGGAGGCTACACAAGTTATTCTCATCCCGCCTCTCTCCGTAAGGATCACATGCAGACCAGGCTGGCCTCAAACTCTCTAAGTAGCCAAGGATGACCTTGAACTTCTCATCTTCTGGCCTCTAGTGTGGGTCCCACCTGGCTTATGTGGTGCTGGGAACTGAACCCAGGGCTTGGTGTGTGGCAGGCAGGTGCTCTACCAATGGAGCTACATCCTCAGCCCCCTTGACCCCCTTCGAGACAGTTCCCTCTGTTGCCCAGAGTAGCTTAGAATATGCATCCCCAGCTAGCCTGAACTCACAATGATTCTCCTGCCTCAGCCTCTCAAGTGCCGAGATCACAGGTCACCATTCCCTGGTCAGAAATTCTGATACAGAAATTCTGGTACAGCTGTCGTTTGATTGGCGGAATCTGCCAAACTGGGTACCCCAATCCATGAAGCAGTGCTTGATTCTCATCTTTGTCTTCTCGGGACTGCCTTACACTGCTTGTGGCCTCTCGCCTGGTTTTATAGGGCTCCCGTTTTCTTGAATGAAAGAATTTAGCCAAGAGACAGACGGTTTGAGCAGTTTATTTAGCAAATCACACTAAGGAGCATTCCAAAGAGATCATTGTACCACACTGGGTTCTGCTTTGTGGCTATTGAAGACAATTTTATGACTATTTGGGAGGTGGGTGGTATATTCATGAGGCAAATGGTCCTTTTTCCTCCTAAATCACGATGGACCAGATATCCCTTTAGAGTGGTTCCCCCCATCGCCTCTATAAAACCCACAAAAGGGTGTATGTGTGTGGGGGCCATCGAAAACCACGGTGCGAGTGGCATTAGTGATTGTGCACCACTTGAAGATGTGGGCCTTCTGGTTGATGGCACGCGTGGGAAAATGCCCTCGCCCCTGTCTCTGATGTAGCAAGACAGCCTCACTCTAGGGCCATGACAAGAAGATTTAACCACAAAAGAACATTCTCTCGGGAGACACAGCTGGCAAGGCATTGCTGCGCGTTCCCTTGGTCATGGCAGCCCTTGTCTCCCTCCTCAGAAGCATAGGCGGGCAGCCTGTGAGCCAAGCCTTTCTCCCACTGCAGGTGGAGATTCTACCCCAGGGCCGAGAGAGTCCCATCTTCAAGCAATTCTTCAAGGACTGGAAGTGAGGGTGGGGGTCCCCAGCCTGCTCTGCGGTCTCCCACCATCTGCCTGGCCCCCTCCCCCGCTGCTGAGTCAGCACCGAGGTGCCCGGATGCTCAATAAAGGACGCACCTTCAGTTCCCAGTTCCCACAGCTCTCTCCTGTGTGCTCGCCCTGGGCTGATTTTTCTGCCTATTCACTTGGGCTCGTCCCCATTCTGGGATCCGAGTAGAACATAGGTGATAGATAATCCCGCCGCTTCCAGGAGCCCAGCTCTGGCTCTGCGTGGCCAGGACTCAGTGGAGCCGATGTCCAATCCCCACCGTGCCCAGAACCTGATAGGGAGGTGGCACAGTGCCAGGCCTCGGCATCGCTTTCCGGCCAGGGTTTAGTTCAAGTCTCACATTCCCGCCTGGGAGAAGGCTGTGGCTGTGGCTGGGGATAGATTTCTATTCAAGCCAGTATTTCCTCAGATGCCCCAATAAGCACCCATGAGGCAGTTTTAAATGATTACACGAACCCAGCAACGGAATGTGCCAGAGTCCTTGGGCAGGCCAACTGTCCTTACTCCACTGGCTTTTGTGTTTGGTTCATCAGCTCAGGGCTGGTGTGTGTGTGTGTGTGTGTGTGTGTGTGTGTGTGTGAGTGAGAGAGAGAGAGAGAGAGAGAGACCAGTCTATAATGGAGAAGCCCTATTTCTGATCCTTGCTTGCCTGTGATGTGTGTGTGTGTGTGTGTGTGTGTGTGTGTGTGTGGTGTGTGTGTGTGGTGTGTGTGTGTGTGTGTGTGTGTGTGTGTGTGAAAAGCACAAGTCTATAGCAGAGAAGCCCTATTTCTGATCCTTGCTTGCCTGTAGAGTGTGTGTATGAAAAGCACCAGCCTAGTGGAGAGGCCCTTGTTTCCCTGGCCACAGCCCTAGTTCTATTTCTTGTTAATGACAGTATGGAAGAGCAGAGAAAAGAGGGCAGAGAGTGAGTGAGCCAGGTATGGTGGTACCCTGTAACCCTGTCTGTAACGCTGACATACCTAGGAGGTAGAGGGAGGTGGATCATGTCTTTAGCCTTTGACACAGTGAGATCAAGGTCAGCCTTGGCTACGTGACACAGCAACTCAAAAGAAACAAGCTAGAGAGGGTGAGGGAGAGGTGTCTGGGTGAGCCTGGGCCAGAGGCTGAGGCCCAGCAGCAGCTGCCCTGCACCTCCCTCCTGTGTCCCAAGTGTTATTGCGGCTCTGCTGGCTCTGTGCTGTGGCACTGGATTCTTCTGTCCCACACAGTCAGAAAGTCTAATCAAATTCATCTTCCTAATGCTGTGCCAGAGAGCTCGGTCTGCGGACCCGCCCTCGGTCTCCCTGAGACTTCCTAGCTCTCGACTGACCACACAGGGGCACATGCTGGGGAGGACGTACCCAGGGATTCTCCCGTGGAAGGCGGTCCTTCCTACCCCCAAGAAAAACACTCTTCAGCCTTCAGAGGCCTCCACCCCCAACCCACCCACCAGAACAGACTGCTGAGTTATCCTGACCCTGGTCAGGACGAAGGGCCCCTGCTGGGGAGCTGGCTCCCTTCCAGCCGGCCCTCCTAGTGTCCCTGCGGCCCTGGGACCCTGTGCTTCCAACCGACGCTGCGGAGCGAGGGAAAGGGACAGTAGCCAAGCAAGCACCCAAACTGACTCGGGCCTTGCTGACCTCTCTGCTGGCCGCTGAAGATGGGAGCTACAGGAGACATGGTAACAAAGCCTTCGACCTGAGACCCTGTTAATATGCAGAGGGCCAACTGCAGGGCTTTGTCACGGGCACACTGGGAGGGAGGCCTCTGTGGGTGCCATCTCCGGAGTGGCCGGAAGCCAGAGGAGCGCAGGAGCCTGAGGCTCATGGGTGGTTAGGTGGGAGGCTGGGGTGAGGGAGCAATAGCCAGGCCCCAGAGCAAAAGCAGGCAAAGCCTAGGTGGATACCACACCAGTCAACCCTAACAAGAGCCACCATGCTAGAGTAGGCAAGAGGCCTCCTGGCCTGGGTGGGCAGCTTGGCTTAGCGGGTAAGGAGTTTGCCACAAAAGCTGGTCGACCTGGTTTTAATCTCCAGAAAGGTTGAAGGAGAGAATCAACGTCGCAAGCTGTCTTCTGATCCCCACACATCAAGTGTGTGCCCCCACACCCCGTATCATACGCAGATGCAGCCAGGGGAACTCAGATGGCAGGCAGTCAGGGTGCAGGAAGCCTCTCCATCCTGGGGCCTGAGGAGTCTGCAACCCCACGGCACCCTAGGTACTAACCTGCCTGACTCAATCTGGTCCCTAGACAACGGGGCACAGCAAGATCCTGAAAGAACTGTCTTGGGAGAAAACACTAGATACTACAACAGTTCCTTTATTCTAAAACTGCGGGTGGGCGAGCGAGTTCCCACTGCCTCTCTGCCAGGCCAGATAGCCATTGTTAACCTGGTGCGCGTCTCCACAGGATCCCCGGCCTGTGCCCATTTCTAAATCACAAACAATGGTGGGCAGGGGGAGGGGGAGAAAGTGTCCTGGAAATCGTGGTGACTGAAGGGAGGGGCCTGCATCAATCAATCAGTCGCTTTTTCCTGTGTTGTGCTGCCCCCAACTGGCCGAAGACATTGTTGCCTCTGCCTTTCCAATTTCCAACCTCAAGACACGGAGCAGGCTTCTGGGGAGTCAGAATCCTAGCAGCCACTTGCTGGGACTCTCTCTTGGTGTGAAGGGGTAGACTGGATGTGTAGGCCGTTCAGACGCGGCTGTCCTACTTCACGGCCTGTTCATGCCCCCTGAGATATCGGGGGCCCAACCCTGTGAACAGGGGCCCAGCTGGGAATAACAGACGACCCCTTGCTTCAAAGGTGGCAAGGAGGTTAATTCTAGCTGCCGAATGAGCTATGCTGGTGAAGAAACTTAAGCTTCACCACCCACACGCGGGAGCATCCTAATGTCACCTGCAGGGAGGCAGGAAGGGTTTGGGCCCAGACACGGTTCTTCAGGTGTGAAAGCTCCAGCGACCCAGGCAGCCTCTCTGGGAATGGTCTCTGGGGTGGGTCAGGTCAACCCTGGTCTGGTCTCTGGGGTGGGTCAGGTCAACCCTGGTCTCCGGGATGGGTCAGGTCAACCCTGGTCTGGTCTCCGGGTGGGTCAGATCAACCCTGGTCTAGTCTCCGGGGTGGGTCAGATCAACCCTGGTCTCCGGGGTGGGTCAGGTCAACCCTGGTCTCTGGGGTGGGTCAGGTCAACCCTGGTCTCCAGGGTGGGTCAGATCAACCCTGGTCTCCGGGGTGGGTCAGATTAACCCTGGTCTGGTCTCCGGGATGGGTCAGGTCAACCCTGGTCTCTGGGGTGGGTCAGGTCAACCCTGGTCTGGTCTCCGGGTGGGTCAGATCAACCCTGGTCTCCAGGGTGGGTCAGATCAACCCTGGTCTCCAGGGTGGGTCAGATCAACCCTGGTCTCCAGGGTGGGTCAGATCAACCCTGGTCTCCGGGATGGGTCAGGTCAACCCTGGTCTCCAGGGTGGGTCAGATCAACCCTGGTCTGGTCTCCGGGGTGGGTCAGATCAACCCTGGTCTCCAGGGTGGGTCAGATCAACCCCGCGCTCTCGGATGAGTGAGACGGCACATCACAGACACCTGTGAAGGTGAGGTCCCTGGAGTGAGGCCCTCGGGATCCAGAGCACTTCTGTGCCGCCAACAAGGAGGCCTGTCCCTTTGACACCCGGGCTAGGTAAACGTCCAGCGTCTTGAGCAGCCGTTTGGGGCTCTTCTTGGCCAATACTTCCAAGTCTGGAACAGAGGAGATGGGGAAACTTAGGGGGATCTGGGGGGCACAATGTCTCGAGTCCAATGGCTCTGTGAATACAACCAACCCCTGTCCTTTAGAGACAAGAGTAAAGCAGTCAACAAAGATGACAAACCAGACAGGGCCCAGGGATGGCTTCTCCCTGTGACACAGACCTCAACTCCGTAGAAGCACTCCAACTGCTAGACCTCAGCTTTTGCATCCTTTAATTTAAAACTTTTTTATTGTATATGTACGAGGTTTTGCTTCAATGCATGTCTATGTAGCACATGTGCCTAATGCCTACAGAAGTCAGAGGGCCCCTGGCACTGCAGCTATAGATGGCTGTGAGCCACCACGTGGGTGCTGGGTTAGAGGTCAGTCCTCTGGAAGAGCAGCCAATGATCTTAATTGCTGAGCCATCTCTCCAGCCCCAGGTCTCACGGTTCGGTTCTGTTTGAGACAGGTCTCCTGTAGACCCTGAGCTGCTTGTCCTCCGGTCTCTACTAAGTGGCTTGTGCCATCACACATGGTTTGTGAAGCACTGGGTGGGGATTGGGCCCGGGGCTCCTGCATGCCAGGCAGGAGCTTTAGCAACGGCACCACATCCCCAGCCCAGGCTCTGATTGGTTGTACACTTTCAAGACTTACTGTTCTTTAAAGCATGCATAGAGGTTTGCCTGTGGGCACGTGCCCATGAGTGTGGGAGCGCAGAGGTCAGGGGAACAGCAGCTCCCTGCAGCTGGAGTTACAGGCAAATGTGAGCTGCCCACCATGGGTGCTGGGAAGCAAATGGGGTCCCCTGCAAGAGCAGTAGGCCATCTGAACCACAGAACCATCTTGCCAGTCCTGTTTTGTTGTTTCTTGAGACAGGGTCTTAATATATAGCCCTGGCTTGCCTGAAACTCACAGAGATCTGCCCGCACTCATGGGTAGCCCAGGCTGGCCTTGAACTCACAGAAATCTGCCCACACTCACGCATAGACCAGGCTGGCCTTGAACTCACAGAAATCTGCCCACACTCACGTGTAGACCAGGCTGGCCTTGAACTCAGAGAACTGCCCGCACTATGCCTATTGAGCAGTCAGGTTTCGGTTCAGAAGATGTGGGGGTTTTGCTGTTTGACGTGATCGTCAGGGCAGGGGAACAGAGGCAGGATTGTAGCCTGGCTACAGTGTGAGACACTATCTCAAAAATAGAAATAACAACTATCAGGCATGTAAGGCCAGAGCCTGTCGTGCACGCCTGGAATCTTTGTAGTCAGGAGGCAGAGGCAGATGGGCTGCCATACATTCAAGGTCATTCTGGTCTACACAGCAAGTTCCAGCTCAGCCACAGCCTTACAGGGAGCCCCTGCTTCTTCGACATGCAAATAACAAGCAAGGGAACGGATGCGGATGCGTTTGGAAGAAAGGGTGGCAGAGAAAGGGGAAAGAGCGACCCCCGGGCTTTCTGAGGGATGGGAGGGGAAGGGAGAGGAGGAGCGGAAATGCAGTTCCACAGAAGGTGCCCACCTGTGAGGACAAAGCCTGAGTCTGAGATAGTCCTCTGCTGGGCCCTCCACACGCGTGCCAGGTGAAGGAAGGTGGCTGCGTAGAAGCTGTTCACCACTGGGATGACCTTCTGTCGCCGGTTACATTCCCTGCGGGACGAAGGAGGTGACCTGCTCCGCCACAGTGAACCCGACACACCAGTGCCCTCCTTCCCAGCCTGTCTGGTCACCTCACCCCACTGTTCCCCCAAGCAGCGGGGCATCCGGGTCAGGTTAGGGAGGCGAGGTGGCTGGTGCAGGGGGATTATCTGTGGAGAAAGGAGCACGGATGGGGCTGGACCAGGCTCTGCCCGTCACTCTGATCCCAGGGACTCACCTGGAGAGACACTCTTCCCTCAGGGCCTGGATGGCAATGCGGGTGATGTTCACAGACATCAAACAGAAAGGGAATTGCTGGAATGGAGGGTCAAAGGTCAGTGGTCAGTCAGCTCTGGCCTGGTGCATCTCCTCAGCCTCGGGTGGCTGGCAGGAGCGGCCGCCTGCTGTTACTGCTTCCCACCTTATGTGCCAAAGTACTTAACTGTGACCTCAGGCCTGGAATCTAGGGTTCCATACGAGGCAGGTCTAAACTAGCGCTGTATCCAACTCCCTCTTTTTTCATTTTTTTAAAAAGACCTGGTCTCACAGATCTCATGCTTGACTTAAACTCTCTGTAGCCAAGACCGACCTTGAACTTTTTAATAATTTATTTAATGTGCGTGATATGAGTGTTTTGTCTGCATGTATGTCTGTGTACCATGTGTGCACCTAGTGCCTGAGGAGCCTAGAAGAGGGTGTTGGATCCTTGGGACTGGAATGCAGGTAGTTGTGAGCTGTCAGGTCCTCTGGAGAAGCAGTCAGTGCTCTAACTGCTGAGCCATCTTCCCAACTCTTGCTCTGAAACTTCTTTCTCCACCTGCCAAATACTGGGGTCACAGTCACGTGCCACCACACCCAATCTGTGTGGGGCTGGGGATCAAACGCAGGCCTTGTGAATGCCGAGCAAGACTTCGGCCAACTCAACTCTATCCCATCTCCTTTGTGTTTTGACACAGGATCTCATTATAAGCCCTGGCTGGGCTGGAGCTTGCTAGGTAGACCAGGATGGCCTCGAACTTGTGTTCCTCTTGGCCATTCTTTTTTTTTTTTTTTTTTGGTATTTTCATTTGCCTCCATGCCTGGTGGGTTTAAATCATTTTGAATACCAAAGCAGGCTGATCCAAGCATCTTTTGAGGTTCAGTTGGCCACAGTCTTTAAGATTCTGGGGTGTGGTTCTGGAGTGAGGTGCTGGCTGGGGATCCCTGTGTGGGCCACTGGCAAGTATGGACTCCAGGCCCAGCCCTCCCACTTCTGAGTGCCTGCTCTGGGCACGGGCACTGTACCTCTCAGACTCTCAAGAACTCCAAACTCCTTTGCTGGAGAGGGGACACGCAAGGACAGAACACAATGCTGATCCCGGAAAGCTAGCAACCACATCAGCATTGCTGCGCGGTGCCTCCTTAGAGGAGACTGATGTGGCCCACTTCCCTCGGGATTGAGCTACTTTTCAGGTTAAAGTGTTAATAGCCCTGGGATGCATGGAGGCTGGGGTCTCTCAGCATATGGAGGTTTGAGTCAATCCTCTTTTTCTTGAGTCAGGTTTCTCTGTGTTGCCCTGACTGTCCCAGAACTCACTCTATAGACCAGGCTGGCCTTGAACTCAGAGATCTGCCTGCCTCTGCCTCCCGAGTGCTGGGATTAAAGGTGTGTGCCACCACTGCCACTACTGCCCTGCTTGAGTCGATTCTCTTTTATCAGGGGCACAATGGGCACCTGAAACTTAAATTCTCTCTTAAGTTCTTTCCTTTAGAAAATATTTTGAACTTTACATGTATGGGTATGTTGCCTGTATGTGTGTCTGTGTACCAGGTATGCCTGGTAGGTCAAAAGAAGCGGCTACTCTCCCGGGTCTGGAGCTACAGAGAGTTGCAAGGTGCTATTTGGGTGCTGGAAATCAACCTCGGTCCTCTGGTAGCCATTGCTCTTAACCACTGAGCCATCGCTCTAGCCCATCACAGCTTTTCTTAATTCTATGCATGTATTTATTTGTGTACATGCATGTATGGGCACATGTCTGTATGGCACGTGTGAAGGTCAGAGGGCAGTTTGCAGGAGTCAGTTTTCTTTTGACTGTGATTCCTGGGGATCGAACTCAAGCCGCTGTATAGTGGTGTATCACTTAATCTTAATAGATAAAGCTGCCTGAAGATCAGAGCACAGAGCAGCCACTCTAGTCAGCCATAGAGGCCGGGCAGTGATGGCACACACTTTCAATCCCAGCAGCCACACTAGTCAGCCCTATAGGCCGGGCAGTGATGGCACAGACCTTCAATCCCAGCAGCCACACTAGTCAGCCATAGAGGCAGGGCTGTGGTGGTGCACACCTTTAATCCCAGCACTAGAAAGGAATATAAAGTGGGAGGAGACAGAAACTCACTCTCTTTTAGTCTGAAGATTTCACAGAGGAAAGAGCTCTCTAGGGGTGTGGCTGCGTTGCTCTTCAGGTTGAACCCCAATATCTGTCTCTGGGTTTTTATTATCTGTGCTGTATCACTGGGCTTGGCAGCAAGGGCCTTTATCTGCTATCTCAATAGCCCTCAGCCATGGTTTTTAGGAGTAAGCAGACATGGCTTCTGGGTGGCCACGTCTCGTAGACTGCATCTGGAAAACTCCATGTTTTGGAGGTTCCCAGAGCTGGGGTCAAACTTCACAATGTTATTTGTTGTGTTCTAAGACAGGGTCTTACTATGTGGTCCCCACCAGCCTCAACCTCAGCAGAATCCCCCCTCCTCAGTGCAGGTTTCACAGGGAAACACTGGAATTGCTAGTCAGGGATGTGTGTAGTAATGGCTAGTCAGGGGTGTGCAGTAACAGCTAGTCAGGGGTGTGCAGTAACAGCTAGTCAGGAGTGTGTAGTAACAGCTAGTCAGGGGTGTGCAGTAACAGCTAGTCAGGAGTGTGTAGTAATAGCTAGTCAGGGGTGTGCAGTAACAGCTAGTCAGGAGTGTGCAGTAACAGCTAGTCAGGGGTGTGCAGTAACAGCTAGTCAGGAGTGTGCAGTAACAGCTAGTCAGGGGTGTGCAGTAACAGCTAGTCAGGAGTGTGCAGTAACAGCTAGTCAGGGGTGTGCAGTAACAGCTAGTCAGGGGTGTGCAGTAACAGCTAGTCAGGAGTGTGCAGTAACAGCTAGTCAGGGGTGTGCAGTAACAGCTGGTCAGGGGTGTGTGTAGTAACAGCTAGTCAGGGGTGTGTGTAGTAACAGCTAGTCAGGGGTGTGTGTAGTAACAGCTAGTCAGGAGTGTGCAGTAACAGCTAGTCAGGGGTGTGCAGTAACAGCTAGTCAGGGGTGTGCAGTAACAGCTAGTCAGGGGTGTGTACAATAATGGCTAGTCAGGGGTGTGTAGTAACAGCTAGTCAGGGGTGTGCAGTAACAGCTAGTCAGGGGTGTGTAGTAATGGCTAGTCAGGGGTGTGCAGTAACAGCTAGTCAGGGGTGTGCAGTAACAGCTAGTCAGGGGTGTGCAGTAACAGCTAGTCAGGGGTGTGTACAATAATGGCTAGTCAGGGGTGTGTACAATAATGGCTAGTCAGGGGTGTGCAGTAACAGCTAGTCAGGGGTGTGTGCAGTAATGCCTAGTCAGGGGTGTGTAGTAATGGCTAGTCAGGGGTGTGTGCAGTAACAGCTAGTCAGGAGTGTGTGCAATAATGGCTAGTCAGGGGTGTGTAGTAACAGCTAGTCAGGGGTGTAGTAATGGCTAGTCAGGGGTGTGTGCAGTAACGACTAGTCAGGGGTGTGTAGTAACGGCTAGTCAGGGGTGTGTAGTAACAGCTAGTCAGGGGTGTGTGCAGTAAGGGCTAGTCAGGGGTGTGTGCAGTAACGACTAGTCAGGGGTGTGTGCATTAATGACTAGTCAGGGGTGTGTGCAGTAACGACTAGTCAGGGGTGTGTAGTAACAGCTAGTCAGGGGTGTATGCAATAATGGTTTGGGAGGCAGAATGGGATGGCTGAAGGTTAGCAGACATCAGATGGCTCACAACCACCTTAACTGTAGTTCCAAGGGATCTGATGCCACTAGCTCTGCAGGTACACACACACACGTGCACACACACACGTTATATATACACACATACATCATTTTAAAAATAAATCTTTCTTTAAAGTGGATGAGTAAAAATTTGAGGGTAAACAGGATATTTGCATAATTTCAAAGTATTTTCTGTAAGATGGTTATTTATTTGGTTTTATGGGACCAGGCTTCTCTGTAGCTTTGAAACCTGTCCTAGAACTAGCTCTTGTAGACCAGGCTGGCCCCAAACTCACAGAGATTACCTGCCTCTGCTTCCTGAGTGCTGGGATTAAAGGCGTGCACCACCATCGCCCGGCTAAGATGGTTATTAATTGTAAGAGGAAAATGGAAGCTTTATCTAAATGGACATAAACCAGAGGACCCCATCTTAACCAAAGCTAACACCACAGAAGTGTGTGCTCCTTAGTACCAGGCACCCAGAAAAGCACATAACATACGCGGTGCCATTCTGCCTCAAATGCATACCTCCAATCTAATTTTGAAAAGAAAAAAACAACAATGAGACAAAACCTAAATTGAGGGATATTCTGAAGAATAACTGACCATGGGCCCTTTAATATGTCAGGGCTGTAAAAGACAAACAGGCTGGAAGAGATCAGGAGACATGACAAGATGCAATGATTCAAGCGCAAAGACTGACAGCAGAAGGTGTGCCTGGAACAGAGGCGGCACAGGTATGTACTAGTTAATCATTCTGTGTGCGTAATCCCCTTAGAAGATTATTGGGGAAGTGGAATGAATGATATACGGCGGCTCTTTCTAGCAATCCTTTTGCACGTTTTCTGTAAATTTAAAATTGAAGGGACACAAGCCCACTCGAGCATGGCTCTGGCAGGTCTTGCCCTTCTCCCCAGTGCCATCAGTCTTGCTAAAAACCATTAGATGACGTTCCTAAAGCTAACCACCAAGGTCTATTCCCTTATTTGGCCACTTCCTTTTCCTGGGGCTGACTACCAAAATCCAGCAATCAAAAGTCCCCTTTGATTCACCCAATTAACATGCTCAATTAAAATTAAAACACCTCATCCTAATACTGGGTTTCCCCCTTTTTCCTTCACGGTTAATTTTTAGGAGTTTTTATTTAACCTCCCCCCCCCCCTCTCTCTCTCTCTCACACACACACACACACACACACACACGCACACACACTCACTCACTCACACACGCACACATACACACAATGCACTTTGATGCATCCCCTCGATACCGCACCTTAGCCCGCTCTTCCTAACAAGTCCCTTCCTACTTCCATCTTTTCTTGTACCCACTGCATTTAATCAGAAGCAC